CCTGCCGTTTCCACAATATTAGAATTCCTGGTTCAGAAAAGGGCTTTCAGTTGGCAGTTCAGAGGTGATCTGTGCAGAACTCTGTGCTTTTCTGTCTGCAGCAACAGGGCATGTATGAGACAAAGGCATCACAGAGCATCAGTGGAAATAACAAAATCCAGGAATATCAATGCAAGGGTTTTTCCAGATACAGCATTGAGTTTTTCTCATCCACTATACACAGAGAAATATTAGGAACTATGGCAAAATCTAGGAGACTAGGAGATGCCTTGCTAAATTGGCTGGACATCTTCCAAAAACTTCCTTCAGCTCAGCAGCCTTTCAATGAGCACTGGGGGTCAGAAAGGACAATTGGTGTGTGTTTCCAAACGGGCATATGAGGAATGTAACCTGCTGTGAGGCTGGATATACCTGTGATTGAGGCAGGAATGGTTTATCTTATTTTGAGATCATGTTTAAAGCCAGTGAGGTGCCATCCATGGGGTAACCAGGAATAACAGCCCTCATTGCAGGTTACCGTGACCACCTGTTTATCTGGAATGACTATTTACATTAGGAAAAGGACTGCAAATACATCAACACGTGACAAACTTGCATCACTAGAACTGCACAGGCCCACTGAGCCAGCAGACAAGCAGAGCTGCTGCTGATACAGCACAAATTTCCCACGTGAGCAGGAATGTGAAGATCACCCTCTCAGGGCACACTCGACCTAGACACTTTGCCATGGTATGTGTATGTTGCCCTCAGCAAGAAGTCCATCAAAAAAATTATGAAGCTTCACAGTAGGAAAAATAACTAAAACAAAAAGTACAGCTAAAAACTGTGAGCATTTCTGTACAAAAAAGTAACACCTGCGTGTGATCAATTATTAAAAGAACCGAAGGAGAGTTATGCAAATACTATGAAAGACAGAAGGAAAAACACACTCCTGGAGGAAAATCACAGTCAATAAGGGAAATCTCAGAGTAGAGTTTTGCAATCCAGAAGCAACAGGTCCCAGTGAACGTGTCTTAAGGAAAAATCCCATCCACCCACTCACATCCTCTACACACTGTAGAGAAAGGGTCCTACGTGTAAGGTATAATCCAAAATAAAAAAAAACACCTATAGGTAGAGCAACTCACTGGAATTACAGTCACACTGAGGATAAAGAGTAGGGTAAGGAAAAAAAAAACAACATTTAAAATAATGTTAATGCAGTAACTGGATATAAAACGGGCACAGATGAACATCAATGAAAAATTACACAGAGTATTTCAACCATTAATGAGGTGAGGGTTTGGACTAGCCAGAGAAGCAGCACTGGCAAAAAAAAACTTCCTAAAAACTAGGTTTAAGAGCTAAACCTCTTCATAAACTGCTCAGTGACAGAGTACCCCACAACACCTGACACACTTTGCATTGGAGACAGAGAAGGGCCACCAAGGCACAAGGAACGCCAGGACTTGGAATCCTTTTGAACCCTCTGGAATTTCCACTGCTTTGACACTGTTTTCCAGCTCATGATTTTACTGAGATACCAACCTGTGGAGAAGCCAAAAGTCAATGCAGAGAAGGTAAGGACAAAGACCTAAGGAGCACGAAGATGACTGCATTTGAGATACTGAATAAAATCAAAATAGGGAAGATTTCCTAGCCAAGTGAATCAATTAATTATCAATTAATGGATTTTATATATTGAATAGAAACAGAGACTTGAAAGCAATTATTTTTTTAAAGATCACCTGGGCTGGACACCTCATTCTGTCCTATGAAAAGGCCAGGCAGAGAATTTGTTTTCAAAGGACACTGAACACAAATATTATGTGACACGGGAAAACATCACGGCAATGCTGACCATAAGGCTTTACAAAGCACAGGGAAAAAAAGAAAAAAGCTATAAACTGAAATCTACAGAGGGAAGCAGGAGACAGGCCACAGGAAGAATGAGGAACTCTTTGGAGAAACAACTGTGCTCTGTGGAAAGAAAACAGGTCAGCTGGTTCAGGCAGCAAGGCTCACCAGAAAATAAAATAAAGAAAAAACGTAAGGTAGATCTGTCTGACAAGTCATCCACAACCCTCAGAATCTCTGGAGAAACCCAAAAAGACATTTTGAGAGAAAAGCAAAGTTCAGAAAGAAATTCCCTGCTAAAGGAATTTAACAGGTTGTCAAGAAAATGTTTCATTTCCATATAATTGCTGGCAGAGCGCTCCACGGGTCCTTAAAGAAATGGGTTTGTCTTATGTATTTCTCCCCACCCTTTAGCTCACAGCAGCAAAACACACAAAATCCTGCCCAAGTGGTTGGGCTCCACATTTACTGCATTGACCTGAAGATCCCACTCTTCAGAAAAAATATAAATAAATACACAAGAGCACACAAATACATATTCACATGCTGGACACGTTTCCGCAAATATGTGCTCCGTTGCTTTTCTAAAACCTAAGACTCATCAAAAAAAATGTTATTTCCCATACTCCATTCCCTTTCTCCAAAAATGGATTTCAAGTGAACAAAAGCAATATTTAAGACTGATGTCTAAAATAAACAAACATGGACACGTTTCTAAATTAATTGCAGTGCCTCAGTGTAACCTCAACTAAAATTTATCAGAATTAATTTGACCATGTAGTATAATTTCTTTAAGCTCACTATACTGCATAAATTGCAATTCTGCTTGTTTAGTAAAATCTGGTTGCATGGGAGAGCCTGGAGTATAAGTGAGTTAGTTATGCTATATATAATGTTCTTCAGACATGAAGCAATACAGGTAGATTGCTACAGATATAGCTAAAGAAGCACATCATCTCTAAAAATGTTATCTTTTTCTCACAGGTAACTAGTTTCAGTGATCAAAAGGCTTATTTAGAAAAGCCCAGTTACAAACTTTGAGAATCATTTAATGACCCAGCTTTGGTTTTGGTACCACAAAGACCATCCAGTGGATTTCATTTTTGTTAATGAAATAATATGAAATAAATTACCTTTATCTTAAACAAATTACCTTTATCTTAAAAGGTAATTTTTAATGACTGCTCACTGAAGTTGTGACAGAACACTAAATACCCATCCATGAAGTTAGCCTGTTTATTTCTGTAGGTTTTGAATACTTAACCTCAAGAGGGAAAATAAACCCATCCTACATGTACAGCAGGCCTGAGGCAGATCTCAGATCTGCCACTGACTTGTGTGACCTTTCCTTTTAATTATGAGCTTACTCACTTATGAAAAGGACATAATAATACCTGCCCTACACTGAATGCACATAACTTCAGTCATTTCGTGCTTCAGAGTACTTTGGGATCAAATTAACAGGTACTACACAACTAATTTAAAACAAGCTCCAGATAGGAAGCATTCAAAAACACTTCAAGCTTTGCACTTATCCAAAAGTGTGATATTAATTACAAACTTGAGACACACAGCTGATGCAAAATCTTTAGAACTGGTACCATAACATTGTAAAAAGGGTTATATATCATGCAGAGTGATACCTGGTTCAGACAGCTTGTGTTCATTTACCTGACTAATGCTGAATATCCATGCAGAATATGTTGCAGCCTGCCCCAGTTCACTTTACTTATCAGGCTTGTCAGACATTGATTCTATTAGATATGAGTTTGATATCAGACACAGAATTTCCATTATTCTGTACATCACTGCAAAGAGGAATCTTGGTTTTTACTACTTACTGAGCTCTCTTTTTTAATTTTTACAAAGCCAAGGTAAGCCAGGCAAAGAGAAATACGTATATTAAATAAGCATAAAATATGTATATTAAATAAGCATGAGTATAAGCAGTGTCTACCATTAAACAGAGCTTAACAACTAAAACATGAATAGTTAAAGCTTAAGGAAACTCTTGATGTGCAAAACCAACACGAGCACCAAAGCTGAGAGTGCTGTAACTTCACAGCTGGGGCCTTGAGTTTCCTCAGAGTTCTGTAGCTCTTTCCCTGGAAGGGATGAGGAGAGGAAGAAGGGGTGCTGAATGATTATCCTGTTTGCAAGGAAGACAATCTGGTTTCCAAATGAACAGCAGCTCAGAGCAGCAAGAGGTGGACAGTAGGAATTTGTCTCTGTCAATTTAAGCCCAAGACAGAGAAATATGACAACCACAAAAATGCTTCATGAGGGCACTTGAACAAACACTTTGGAAGTCCATGGAGAATAATATGTGGTTTCAGATTTTTGTAGACTTCAGCAAAGTCATTTCTAGGTCTTTAATCTTTTTAATGGACTGGCTATAAACATTTTTTTAAAAGTTTCATTCTGCCAAAGAAAGAGAAGGACTTGGAAGGAAAAATTTTATACCTGCTAAGCACCTACAAGTAAGAAAAAATAATATTCTTGCATCTTTTATTTGTAGGGTTGTGATTATAATATTCATTCTATTGACCAGAGAATCTCTCTGCTGAGATTCAACAGACAAGATGGGGGACAAAATCTGAAATATGAATGTACACAGTGCCTAATAAAACATGCTAGGTCTTTCTCAATTACAAGAGGGCATATAAAAGCAAAACAACTTTTTTTTTTAAGTCTGTATAAGCACAATAATCTGAAATACTTCCTTTTAAAACAGCGTACCACAGATTAGAAATGTATGATCATGACACATTCATAGAGTCAAAGAGAAGCAAGTTCCAAGGTCCTGGTCGAGGAGATGCAGAAAAGCACCTACTGTAACTTGCCCGGGGAGAACGGCGGCCAGTCCAGGGGGTGATCCAGGGGCCCATCCCATTCCATCCCATCCCATCCCATCCCGCGGCCGCACCTCCCTTTTTTAATTTTATTTTTCAAAGTAGGCTGGCGGGCACGACGTTTGCGGTGCCGGACAATTAGCAAGAGCAGCAGGGGGATGCTTGCCAATAAACACCCAGATTTGAGGTTAAGCAGCTGTAAATCTGCATTAATCGTTTCAGGAATTCAGCTATTTACAAAAGCTTTTAAAGAGCAAACAAATAAGAGAAGGGAGGGGAGGAGAGATAGGAGAGGAGCCGATCTGTCCGTACCTTCACACTGCTTCCCTTCCCCTTTATAGCCCGGCTTGCAGATGCATTTGTAGGATTTCGGTGTGTTCTGACAGATGGCATCGATGTGACAGTCATCCGTGGCTTCCGCGCACTCGTCAACATCTGGAAGCACAGAACGAACCCCAAGGGGACAGATCAGGAGCGAGACCTGAGACACACAACACCAGGGACAGAAACTCCCCTTGGAACCGTTTGCCTGCCTGCCTTCCCAGTGTCATCCTGGAAATGGGAACATCTGAGGTTAAATGACTGAACCTGCCAACGTGATGTTCTCCGCAGGTCGTTTATAAGCACTGCTCCACCGAGCCACAGGGACTGGCTATCACATTCCCGCATTAGGAAATCCTTAGACACTAAAAATTAGCTTCTGCTGTATAGGTCTGGTACTGGAGACCCTTAGTAAAAAACCCAGTGTTTAAATGACCTATAAGAGGAGAGAAAAAGACCATTTGCGTGTTCTAGCAAAGAGATTTTCCCAATTTATAAAGATAGACTCTAGTTTAAATAAACTCCGCTGGTTGGGGGATGAGAAAAAGAAATATTTGAACACCAAAACCCCATTAATACTTTTTACTTAGAGGCAAAAAAAAAAAAAAAAACGGCAGACCATAAGAAACTTGGTAAGTCAGTGCGGAGGAAAGCAACCTGCAATAACATCATCTACTTGGACTAAAACTCATTTAGGAGGAAGAAACTCCCAGCAGTCTCCCCGGCCCCTGCACTGGAAGGGGGGCAGCCAGACCGCTTGTTTTCAGGGTAGGAAGCCTTTACAAACATTTCAGTGACGGGCATTGGGATTTAAAGAGGATGGGGAGGGAGGAGGATGAGTGAGAGACTCGGTAGTCGTGGGAATGCTAATGAAGTGAACATAGGAGGGGACAAAAAAAAGGGAAAAAGCAGCAGCTCCGACCTATTCAGGGATGGGGTGTGCTGCTAACAGGGGAACATTTAAAGCCCTGCCTAACCTGCCCTGCCCCCCGCAGTCCCCACAGACGGTTCCCGACCCCCGGTGCCGCCCCCGCCCCGGGGACAGCGGGCGGGCAGGGTCGTGTCAGAGCTCACCTCACGGGGATTTCCTCCCCATTTCACGCCACAGCCACACCTGGGGCTCCCGGGAGGAGACAGGCGGGCAGGGCAGCGCGCTGCCCGGGGGATGGAGCGGAGCACAGCCTCCCCTTTATGCCCGGGAAGGACCGAGGGCACCGGGGGAGTCGCGGAGGGACGTCCAGCGAGAGACATGTGCAGCTGGTTCCGTGCCAGCGAGATTAACAGATCCTCCAAAAAGGTGCACTAAAGTGAAAACAGCTTCGCTGTCAGCTTGAAATCGTAACGCTAATTGTTTCAGAAGTGCTCACTCAGCCATCTCCAGTGATCCTTCAAAGTCACCGGGGACAGGAGGGGGCTGTTTGGAGAGGGGAGGATAAGCAGACACTGTGGCATGGCACACAGCAGAGAACTTGTCTGGGAGGTGCAGACCGGGGCGGCCCCGCGGGGCACCTCTGGCATCCCAGCAAGAGAATTCCCTGGACTCCGTATTGTTGTGGGGGATTTTTTGTCTTTTTTTTTTTTTTTTTTTTTTTTTTTTTTTTTTTTTTT